AAAATCTTAAAAAAAAAAAATATATATATATACAGTATTGGAGAGATATCCCCCAAAATGAGTTCTGTGGTCAAATAAGGCCAGAAAACTGATTTCTTTACTGCAGGATTTTAATGTATGGTTTCTAATATGCTAATGATCTGCAGTTTGGCTCTTAAATAGGAAACTATGAAGGGCAGCATTTCTCAAACCTGCCTGTCAATGGAACATTTACTCTGAAGAACAAGTATGACTGTGTCTCTTGGAATGAAGCTTAGAAAACATCTTTTGATCCTCCTGCCCACTGTGGATTTTCTTGGTACTCCATTTGCTTACCAGAGGTTTTAAACAGAAATTTTACCATGGTGAGAAACTTCATTGGCTCCCTCTCACTGAAAAGACAACGGTGGGGGATAAAGGAAATGGACAGCAAATATTAATGCACTTTGCCAGTATCTAACCATATACTTCAGATTACCATGCACTGTGGTTCCATTACCACTGTTTATCACACTAAAGACAGGGAGACAAGGGGTATGAAGACACAGAATTCAAATTTATTGCACCATAAAACAGCTCTAGTAAAAGACTTATGAAAGAATAAGATAATTCAAGATCAACCAGAGATGAAAGATAAAAATCTTTGAAATGTTTTCTGTGGAAGAGGCTTAATACAAAGGATGTAAGATTTGCTTCGTATTTTTACCTACTCACACTATCATAACAAAAAAATTCAACATTTATATACCTAGTTCAAGTTTTTGTTGTTGTTGTTTTTTTAATGGTAGAGACAGTTACTAAGCAATCAAACCAGAAATCACATCATTGATGTCATGGCCTTTATACCATTTATCACACAGTCATTTATGTCAAAGAGGTTGCAAAATTCACAAATGAAGAAGTGGTTTTGCTAAAAAGATAGTAATAAAATTTTAGTGTCAGGACAAATGTATTAAAAGCCATCTGTTCTCTACATTTTTCAACTTCTCAAGAACTGTCTATAAATTTCACGTATGCTGCTGACACTGATTTTGGAAAAAGAAATGGAAAAATATTCTCCATTTGATTATCAGGATCAAAAAAAAAATCTTCCTGATGATATTGTGGCGAATATCTAAGTAACATAACTAGTTAAAATGTAATTATTCAGTATGGATTGATGACAACTATGTTTTACTTAGTTTTTACTTAAGTATGTTCTCTCTGTGAGCTTCAATTTCTAGCTCAAGGAAACAGGATTGTGAGGCCAAGCTGAGGTGATAGCTCTAAGAATGCACTCACTCACCTCGGAGGCAGTAAACCCTGCTGTCTTGATAAAAGAACAGCTAAAGGTGCTATCTCAAACAAAGTAAAAATGATTGCAGAAATCACCCAGTGTGACCCTTTTCTTTGCCCTCTACCATTTTACCAAGGGAGACCTGAAGCCAAGAGCTGACTTGTCCAAGGTCACAGGACTAAAGTTCAGATTCTTGGTCAAACTCTTCTCACTGCCTTTAGGTATTATTTGCCCATTTCAAATATTTAGTTTTTATAGTTTGAGTTATAAGCCATGTAAAGCAATTGAATATACATCACTCAAATTTAACAGTAACATGAGAAAGTTAGTCTTCCTATACTTAACTTCATACATTTTCAGTGTTTGAGAACAACAACTACAGGAAATATTAACCCTTGTATCCCAAGAACCTGCTCAATTAGGTTTTGGCTTATTCTAAATATTTAGTTGAATCTTACAAAATACTAAGGATATTTTCCACTACCCAATGTTCAAAATGTAGTATCAAAGGTCAAATTACCCATTCTTTCTTTTTTATCTTTATGATAAGAGGAACACTCATACACCACTTTTTCCTTTCCTTGTCAAGGAACAGAACATAAGATCTTGCTACATTCAAATGATATCAGTGCAAGTATTTATACATTGACAATGTGAATATTACTATTTACTCTGTCATATGTATTATAAGCAGAACTACACAGACTTCAAGGAAAAGACATTTTAAGAGGTTTCTTCTTCTCCCAAACAGAATATGCTTCTTATAGCTCATTGTTAAAATGCTAAGTCACATAAGAACAGGGAACTAAAAACTAAAGGTCAACATGACACTTTGTCCCAGACATACACAGACTTCTAAAACCATTTTCAGAGATGTTATTGTACAGTACAGGGTATATAAAAGTCTAGTTATAATATATACTGCCCATAAAAATATTTTATGCTTTAAAAGGAAAACAAAACTCTTAAAACTAGGTTTCGTGATGCTGATGTATTCAGTAACAGAGAGAATACCTAGGTGGGTAAAACTGCAGCACTGAATGATCTACAAGCAGTAAACTTACTATTTTCTCACACCGTGAAACACAATCCTTTAAAGGTGAGTAACCTGTATAAAACTGCATACCTGTTATTTTGTCCCTTACAAGCTTACAGGACTCTATCTCACCGATGCTCCCAAAGAGACTCTTTAGTTCCTCCTGTGTCATGTTCTGAGGAAGGTAGTTGACTATTAAGTTGGTCTTGCTGTCCTCTGTGTTCCCAGAGTCAACTGGCGAAGAGCAGTTGTTGTTTATGGTGGTTGGACCATTGGCTGTGTTATTGCAAGTTGGCCCATTAGACAGTTGTGTTTCCATGGCAGCAATTACCTGCTAAAAACAGAGAAAACAAGAAATGTCAGAATTCATATTTCACAAACTATTAGAGATTCCAACCAAGAATGTAAATACTTGTCACTAAATACGAGTCGTTCTGCTGAAATTACAATAAAGCTTCAACAAAAAGTGTAACACCTACGTTAATTTGTACTTCATACATTAAGCTAGTCAATTTAAGTTCACAAGTATACTTTCACATACATATTCCAAACATGCACATAAAAAAGCACACTGTAAATGTTAAACATTCTCTAGAAGCGCATTTTGGGGTCTATTCACATACCCTTACTCACCTGCAGTGTCCAAAGACCTGAGGAAATCTAGTACCAAAGGGCACGGAATTAAACCCTGACTAAAATCATACTACAAAACAGAAGTGCTTAACATGCTACCAAAAAGACAAACCAAAAAATGGTCTTCCTAACTCTGAAGAGATTTTCAGTTAGCCTAAGAGTTTCAATATTCTAAAACTGACAGACATCCATTAACTTAAAATCAAGGAGCAAGAGTACTTTAAAAAATATAAATTTGTCAACATGTACTGTTTTGGTTACATATTGGAAATGTTTTTGATTGACAATATCTTCTACCTCTTCTGTTGGTAAGAAATAAGAAAAATATCAGATGTCAAATGTTAGGGCATGAAAAGGATTTGTAGGATAACTTGGAAAAGAAGCTATGAGTACTTAGTGTACCTTGTAGAATCTACAAGCCATTCTTGTCAACCTTGACAGTAAAGATCACCAACAAGGCGACTGATCTACAGCATCAAAATAGAATCCCCAAACAATTCAAAATGGCATTTTGCCTTGATTCTAACTTTAAATGGGAAAAAAAAACAAAAACAAACCCAAAACAAAAACTTCTCCAGTTCACCAAAACAATTACATAAATATTTCAACTTTTGCAAACAGACCAGCCCAAGGAATTTTCATTTGAGCACATAAGCCTGTTGAAATGCAAGTAATAAGGTACCTATAAACTCCAAATACAGGATAAATAGCAGTTTTGGGGAAAATGGCCTCAAACTGTTCAGGCTACTCTAAAAATCTACTTATTAAGCAAATTTGGATCTAGCTTCCTAAAAATCAATGCTATGCCCTCTGAGCAAAAGAGTCACAAACCACAGCCCCAAATTTTCGAAAAACCATCTTCTGATAGCTATATACTTTGGACAGCCAAGATTGTGGGGGAATCCAAAAATCAAAGCATCACTGAACGAATTATCCTTCATATTTCATTCAATACAGCTCTCATCTCCATAAAGAACTACTTCTCAAAACTGAATTCTGAATTGATGGAATGCTAGTTTTAGGGAAGTTCTCTAACATATAAAAGGCAAAGAATTTGAGGCAAAATTTTTAAAAAGCAAAGTAGAGGGAAAGAGTGTTACAAGAGAAAAAAGTCTTTTAAAAAGCATATTGCCTAAGAAAAATAAAAGGGCACAACAGTGGATAAGCATACAGGAAGAAATCTCTACTGCCAAGAGATGTTTATAAAAGGCGGCAGCATAGGATAGATTGAGACTCGTCAACTGACCAGATTAAGACTGGTCAGACTGGCAAGAATGCTATCGTGCTATCGTGATTAAAAAAATAGACAAAATCCAGACTACTCATCAAATATCAAACAACCTATAAACCTCCATGACTGCATTTCAAAGAAATGGGTATTTTTTTTCCTACAAGCTGCATGCTACCTCTCTTGGGTAAGTGTTCTTAGAGAACACTTAAAGGAGCAAGGTAAAATAAAGAAATCTTTAGAAATCTGCAAGGAAAAAAATTGAAACAATTCAAGATATGCATTTTATTATAATTAACAAATTTATCTGAAACTGAGAAAGGAGTTCTCAAATTTTCTAATAAAGCATAACTGTTCCAGTCTGTAGAATATTAGCTGTGGGTCATTTTCCACAGCAAAACTCTTATGGGATTAACCTTTGCCCAGCATTTATGAAAACAATGAGTGGCAAGATGAGAGTGGCCAAGGCCAATTAAAACAAATCACTATTCAAAAGTTAGGGTATGTGTAGAAACTATATGAACCCCGAATAGGAGATATGGATTTAACTCATTGGCATGGCATGTGAAATATAAAGTGTTCATTGACTGAAATTAGCAGGATTTAGCAAGGACAACAAACACTCCTCACTTAATTGCACATTTATTTCCATGTTCAGGTGGCAAGAATGAGCTCCTAAGCCAACATTCAAGTGAACAGCTGCAGTAAGCTGTGTGTGCTGAAAATTACAGCATCTCTCAGCTATAGGACCATCTGCTCAGAATAAAATGATACTAATGTGCTATATTTTACAAATAATGCATATTCCATTGATAGGCTCAACACAACTGTTCACAGAATGCAAACTCTTTCAACAGTTACTGGGCAAATAATTTTCATCCAGTTTCACAATTTCAACAATTTTTTTTTTTTTTGAGCATCAGGAATTGTAAATAACTTCAAAATTTAGTAACCAAAAAAATACATAGTAAACAGAATGTAAAGAATTACGGTAACTTAGTATTCAGACCATACCAAAACTTTTTTGTTTTTTTTTTAAAAAAAAGCTTGTCACTCTTTTGAGTCTGCACTAAATCCTAATTTAGATTATAAAAAGTTACATACAAAACCATGGTTCTGATGCTACATAGACCACTATGGTTAAAATTGCAATGTGCTTTAAGTCGTAATGATGGCCATACCACAATAGGTTAAATGTAAGAATAATTAGTATGTCCAATGAAAAGTTCAAGTGTTTGGTATGGCCTCAGCACTCCTGCAACATGCTAAAAAAAGTAGCCTACAGAATTTAAGAAAAATCCCACAGACCCCAGTCCAAGGCTCTGCTGCCCACGAACCACTTCTAAGCAGAGAAGCCACATCACACAGTCTGACTGCCATGTTAGTTTGGAGTTGCCGTCTGCAATATGGACACAAAAAGTACCGTATGTTAGATGAGCAAGATAATGCAACAAATCAGTTTGTACAAAATTTACAGTGATTGTATTGATATTCCCAGCACGTCCATGCAGTGTGGCTTAATTGAATTTGAGGCAATTCCAATCTAATCTTTCCAAATTCATTTTAACATGTAGTTTTCTTGCACAAATTAAGCATTTTTAATTAAGAGCCTGATTTTCAAACAGTATTAACTAGTTACCTTGACATCTATCCTGAAGAACTACCTTAAACCACATCTCAAAAAAATTTTTAAATAATAAAACGAAGCAAAAACACTGCATGCTGTCCTGTCTCTTAAGGATGTGGGAGAAGGAAGGAAATGTGAATGAAATTTATAGTGAGAAAAGGCAGTCATGCAATTCATAAGTGAATGCTTTACATAAAAGCATTCTTTCCCCAAAATATCAGAAAGGCATTAAGGGAAACTGTATTTGCCCACACTGTTACATTATACTATAAATGATCCTTAATCCTGGGACTTAAAATTAAAAGTGAATCGAAACCCTGTGAGGTTAATCTGCCACTACCGTCCAACTGATCTCTAACAGTTTCACTGAGAATCGTTCACATAGACTAAGAGGCAGTAAACCAGCATCTTTCAATTGAAATAACTGGACCAATAAATAGGATTGTGTGGAGTAATGCTTATATAGGATGTCAGCTTTGTCCCTGAACGAAATCAAGTGAATGTTTTTTAATATGTAAATTGTAAACGCAGCACGATTTGAAATTAGTGCTGCGATGAGGCCTCCAATATAGTTAATGAGCCATTTACCACTTATTACAACTTGCCCAAATACTAAGCAGAGCCACAATATTGGCACAAAAGCCAAAGTTTACATTTTAGCCATATATGCAGACCCTTTAAATGGTCAACAGAATATTCAGAAAAACTCAAGTCTCTGAAAATAGACAATGAGTAACAAAAGAGGGCCAAAAACATCTTTTACTTGGGTATTTATGATTATAAAAATTTCATCCTTAGAGTTAAACCTGGCTCTAAGCGATATACTCTGGACGTGAGTGATGACATTAATTAACACGTAACAATGGATTCCATTTTCTGGCATCTACCAAAAGGGTTTAACATACTCTTTACAGGATGCCATGAAAATGTTTTATACTTCTTCCCTTCTCCCACTGTTATCAGATAATTCAGTCTGAGTCTATGTTTTTTATTTTTTTTTAAAAAAGAACTACTTATAGTTGAACTAAACCTGTGAAAAAATAAAGTGCTTTTATATCCATGAAATATTTTGACAAGAACCTAATTGTGGTTAGACCACATGGGTAGAACAGGTAGGACCACACCCAAGAGGTTAAACCAAGCTTAAACTCTATGTCCTGAATACCCTCGGGAATTGGATCTGAACATTTTTCACTACATAAAACCACAGATTCACGTTTAATGGCCTCAGTCCCTTCTATTCCATAGGAGGCGACGCTAATAAGCTAATCTATCGACACCCCTCTTTCTGAAAGCCCCAGGGATGTGAACAATCACTTTATTGCACCAACTAGCTAGAAAGGCTGTGTATGGAAAATGATTCTACTGCACTTTTACATTTCAAGCACCCCAGACAGTTTCTCTGCTTGAGGCAGACACATACCTTTATGGAAAGTTATAAATAAGCTGCTCACATGGCCCTTACCTTTATGCTGGCCAACAATTCAGTTACTAAAAATGTAAAAAGCTACTCCCCTTCACTTAAGGACAGGAGATTCTGCTCTCCTCAATCTACCACAGACAACCGGCCTGCACTATTTATACATTCTATTGGCTCTGAAACTCTTTGGCGGGGGGGGGCCCACATTCCAGCAACACAGAACCATTCATTTTAAAGCTTAAAAAATAATGTTTCAATATATGTTCACATCTTAATTTAGACATCAATTGTGCCAATTAAGACTGCTTTTTCTCCTGTTATTCTCCATGTAGTAATTTATGAAAGGCACTTCGGCATAGATCAATCTAGAATATGCTAAACTTTCCCTGGGCTCCAAGAGATACAAGTGGTAATGATGAAGTATTAGTTTGGTGGAACCATGATTTTACCGGGGAGAAACACACACACACACACACACACACACACACACACACACACAGGACACACGCCCTCTGTGTCTGCACACTCACACAGTTTACTTCCAAAACTCCATAAAGGCTTTTTAAGTTGACTTTTTTTTTTTCCTTTTTTACTTAAATGGCCCACTGTGTACTTTAACTTCTAAAGTTTCTTACAGTAGTGGATTTTAGGAAACCAACGCTATTGTTTGATTTCTCCTATCTAGGACTGACAATTTTCTGGTCACATGAGAGAAAACCAAAGTCCCTATTTTTCAAACCTCCTAATACAGAGTTCTAAAAAGTAAGGTTCATCAGTTTCCTTCCTATTTTCAACCTCTTACAGATAGCCACCAAACAAGACAGACTGCTCATCAAAAACATCCTGAATATATTGAGAATTCTCATTAAGTACAATGTCTGCAAGGGGTGGGGGGTGGGGGGGGAAGGTCTCCAAGACCTAGATCCCACCTGATCTGGGGAACAGACCTTTGCAGGTTAAAGTCATAGTAGGACCACTGAGAGACCACTGCATATCCCCTGGTGAGGCCTGTCCAACTGCATGGACTTCTCCATTGTCATGGTCACCATCCCAATCTGGACCCTCATGCTTCATCATCGGAACCACTGAACTATAGCCTTCCCAAAGGTCCCCTCATCATCCTAATCCACACTAATACTACTACTCCCTAATGGATTTTCCTAAACACGCAATAGCTCCCTGCTGTCTACCAAATTAAGTACAAACTACTTGGTATAAACAGTATAAGCATCTGGGACCCTCTACAACTTCTTTTACCAGCCCACATATTCAAGCACCTAAAAAATCTGAACCACTCCTTGTCCCTCAAACAGTTGCAGTACTTGCAAGGCCATACATTCTCTGGCTTTGCTCATGCAATTCCATCTGCCTGGAAGGCCCCCAGCCATACCCACCACGTATCTACATCCCTGGTTGTATAAACTAAGCATTTGAAAACACACCTAAGGACAAAAAGTTTCTTTTTTAAAAAGCTGGGCATGAAAGGGCAGTGACCTCCCTAAATGCATGCAAACTTAGTAGATTTTTTCTATCCCACCTCAAGTATTTCAAACCAGACATAATTATGAAAGCATATTTTCAATTTTTGGCACACTCCATAAGCCACCCTTACCCACTAAAATCCAAATTCTTGTTAAACAGCATAACAAAGAGAAACTATCTTGACTGATCCCTTGTGTACTTTCAAGTATTTCAAGAGGCTATCATGCTAAATTGCCAACTACAAAAAAGCTGGATGCCGAGACAAAAACATGGTATAAATGTGCTCCAACCTCTGGCCAGCAAGGTTACAGGGTTGTTGCTTCTGGAATTTGGGTCTAATTTGAGGAAGATGGCAGAAGCACAGGTAGATGTAGAAAAAAAAAAATTAAACAGATTTTATAACACAAAGATGTTTAAAAATGCATCATAACTAAGTTATGGATCTCAAGCAGTTTTAATTTTGATACAGAGTTTAAGCAAATATAAAAGGAATACAGACTAGAAAGTTTAAGCAAATATAAAAGGCAACATCTCTAAAAAGAACCTTGGCCAGGTCAAGGGCGAGCATTTCTCTCACACTTTGAAAGTGACTTTGGTCTGGACACTTCCTTGCAAGCTAGTGGGCTCTCAATACCTTGAGTAGTGGAGCACCAGGACAGAATCAGGACAGTGCAAAGTCTTTCCTCTGACCACAAACCTCTCTAAAAACCAAGTTACAAGGTGAACAGAAGGCATTTGTCTCTAAAGTTTAAGAGGACAAACTACCAAAATAAAGACAAACTTCGGCCCAAAAGCATTTTCCTTTGGGGAATGCAAGGCAGGGAACTAAAGCACTGAAAATAATCAGCAGAGTAATGAGAACTTACAGATGAGAGCTGGGTAAGCAGCTGATGGGGCTATCTACCTAGCAGACACCATTCCCACATAATAATTTTTTATCTTTTCACTAAAGGCATTTTCAGGATGTATTTCAACTTTACTGAATTAAGCAACAGAGGAACTCAACCAAGCACTAAAATTATGGGGCTGATGTGTCAACTACAGCCATCAGTTTGTTTTCTTTAAACCTCTTCTCTTCACTTTCCTTTGTCCTTCCTAAAATAATAAAGGTTTGTGGTTTTAAACTTCATGTGATTTCCTCAATCCTAGAATCCCTGTCAATTCCCCACCTCACCCCCATAACCATTTTAGCTGCCTCACAGGCTCTATGGATTCCTCAGCCTTGTCAAGCTCAGAATTTTGGCCTTGGGGCTAACAAAGGGTCCAAGAGCTGCCAGAGACAATACAATGGACAGCTGCAGGAGTCACAGGAAGAATGTTCTTTGGCAGTGAACACCAACATTTCTCAGTCTCTTGGCCCTTTATGACTCCTACAGACAAACTACAGAGTCCTTCCGACGCCACTCTTTCTGAGGTTTTGTAGTTCTAAGAGCTGGCAGGATTAAAACCTTTGAGGTTAGAGGGTAAAGCTAATGAATTTAGGAGTCCCAAGTCCTTCCCTTCAATCTACGTCCGTTTCAGGCATCCATGCTGGTCAAGAGAAAAGCAAAGCTCTGGTGAGAAAGATTTGCTTAAGCTTCACACATTGTTCATTCATTCAGTCATTCATCCATCAAACACTCATATGCAACTCCCATAACCTAAGGACTGTCCTAAGTACTTGAGATACAGTAATGAAGATGAATCCTGGAATGTACATTTGCAAAGCGGGCTGTGTGCAGCAGACCACACATGAACATACATAAGAAAATAGTGTAACAGCTATAAAGAAGTGAGCTTTGGAAAAAAATAAAATTTAGAGCCGAGCTGGGGTTGAGAATGTAGAGAGGGGCAGTTTCCAATATTAAAAAGTAGGCATCCTGAAGAAGGT